AGGAGGAATAACTTTTTATCCTGGACATTTGTTTATTAGGAAACGCTTACTAAGGAGTTAATAAAATTTTCACTTTAGAATTCTGTTTTTCTTTTTCATTATGTAGCTATCAGTCTCATGTTTATACTTTTATATACAAGTGCAGACTATACAATTAGACTTTACAATGCATCCTGACAAGTTTGGTTTTCCAATACATTGGGAAGCAGAAGATTTCTTGTAAAATTCCAGCTTTTTTGCTGTAAGTTCTTAAAATTCTAGCACGGTTAGCATTTCAGGCCTCTTTGCATTTTGACAGAGCATTACTGCTGACACTGGCATCTGATGTTCACAGGCACTCAGGCTTATAGGACCTCCAGTTAAGAAAGGAGACAAAATTTACTTTTTGGTGGGTGCTGGAAACTAGGTCCAATCAGGACTGGAAAACTTCCAAGTACAAATTGATCAGATAACTGCTAATTATCTTAACAATATTCTTGGTATACTCTGAAAGCATAGTGCCTTTCAGTAGCAGTGTCTCATTTTTTATTTTGCTTTAGGTTACAGCTGATGTCTTGGTGATACTTCCAAAACTGGAAGGATGACTTTAAGATGCTCACGTGTGTGTTAGTTTCGTTTTGAAGGTTTGTTTTTTTCTATTAAAACTGGACATTTAAGTATTCATTTTTGGGAGAACCTTGCATATTATCTCTTCATGAGCTCAAGTTTGCCTTTTTCTCTGAAATACTGTCCTAAAGATCTGAAAACAGAATAATCATCCATACTATGGTTCTCATGATCTGCTCAATACATCATAAAATTTGATATGTTTTCTTGGGATAAGTGACAATGAAGTATATAGGTGTTATAATATATGGTATGTTAGTTAATCCAGTTTCATGGACAAGTAAACAGAAAAGGAAATAATGAGTCTATTTCAGATTCCTTTTCATCTTACTTCAAATGCAGCAAAAATTAATCTAAAACTGTAGAGGCAGACAGCTAAAAAGCAGCTTTCTATAATTTTTGTAGTATTTTGTATTTGAGATTAGGTAGTGATACCTTCATTATTGCTTTTTTGCTAAATTACATCAGAAAGTAAAATATTAAATATAGGATAGGAAATAGTGTGGAAATTGCTCCAGGAATTCAGTAGCATCTTTAACACTGCTGTAAAACATGAGGGATCTAGTCTTATTAGGTTAAGACTCTTTCATCTCTTATTAATTACAAAAGGGCTTCAGGGTTTCCTTTTAAAATTTTTAAATATTTGCTTTTAAGAAAATCAGAGTTACTTTTCTCATCTTTTCTCTCCTATTTTATGGCTGTACTACTTTTGATGAGTAGCATGTCTCAAAGGGTAACTGTGAATAAAAGAATATACTTCCTGTAATAAGACTTTGCCAAATACCCTTCAGAAAATGTTTCTGCAATGCTCATGATTGTTTTATTTAAATGCATGACACATCTTAAACACTTAAATCAACCAATTACTCTATACAATCTAGATAGAATTCTCTGTCAGCATTTTTGCCAAGTACCTAGTTGAATCCACAGTACAGAAAATTGATCTGAGTCGTGAGAACTTGAAAACACAAAGCCAACAACCAGGGTTGTACTCAATGTTCAGTAGCCGGAGGAGCTACAAACAAGTTTGATCCTGGATAATAGTAAGTCTTTACGTCTGAATTCCAGCTCACTCTTCTACAGGTTGTGTCTCAGGCAGTTGATTATAGCAATGTCTTGGGAATCAGATATCAGAGCTTTTATTCACAGGCTTGTCATCACCTGGAACCTTGGAAACATTATGTTAACTAATCTATACTTCAGCATATCCGCCTACAAATATTCACTCTATTTACCTACTCTTTTGCATTTAAGCAAGTCAACCAACCAATATTAAAAAAAAAATCATTATTTTTAAATTTGAGACCTTTGCTACATGATGACTTTTTTTTTATGATTAGAGCAGTCCAATTTGCCTTCATAATAGTCTTTTTCATTTCAATATACCATCAAGTGATTACAAAAATTGAAAGAGGATCAGAAAGGTCTGCAATTGTTAATGATATTCAGGATGGCTGAACAGTAGGTGTTTTCCTATTTAAATAGTTAATATATGTAGGAACAATTGCAATGCAATGCAATAAATAAAATGCTGATTTTAACATAGTAATTGCTTCCTAACCAGGAAATGTCTTTTGACATTTCTTGTCCATGGAGGACAATGTCTTTTAATATTTTTTATGGTTCATGCTTTTAGAATGGTCTTAGAATGCGAATTTATTCTTCGTAAAAAATGAATTTTAATGAATTGTATGCAAATAACAATTCTTGAGTTAATTTAAGAATTAAATGTTGCCTTGATGGAGATAGATATTTTATATTCTTTAGAGCTGGTTTGAGACAGCTGGAAACTAGTTTGTGAAGGAAAATAGCAAGAAGGGCTAAATTACAGTGGTGAATGGTACATTGATACAAGCATCTATCTATAGATAAGGCTGAGAATAATGCTTGTTATTTCTGTCTCAAAACTGAAGATTGTTAGTGAAGGTGAAGAATCGGTGAATTCTAGTTTTCTTTCAGCTCTGATGGTTTTGATGTGAGCAACTGTCCTCCAGGTACTACAAGTGAGATCAGGAAGCTCATTTGAATTAACGTGGGAGTCGGATTTGAGCAAAGATACCAAATGATGTGTTCTATTTTCAGCTCTGTTCTAACACAGCAGGCAAGTGGTTATCTTTAACCACTTAAATAGTCTTTGTAGGGTCAGTATGACTCTATGCCTTGCACTTAAATTTTTATATAAGGGCAGCAGGCTAGCAGCCACTATTTCAGCTGCCTGGTTTTGGAGGTTTCTTAGAAACACAGACATACCAATGTAACTGAGCTTTGGGAGTCTTTAAGAGGTTATTCTGTCTTGCACCTGCACTGTGGGTCCAGTTCACGTCTTTTGATGTTATGATTTCAGTGGGTTTTTCCAGAAGAAATTTTATGACTGCAGAGCATGCATCAGAAACTGTTTCTAGGACTCCTGTGGAGCCTTTAGGTAAACTCAGACAGGTTAGCTTCTCACACTACTTTGTGCTTTAATTGTTTGCTGAATTGGAACCATAATCTGCACTTGGTTTAAGCCTCTTCTAATTTCTGCCTAATCATTTATGAAACAGCAGAGAAGGTGGCATGTGCATGTATATTGTTAAGTCCTATGAGTGTGCTGCATTAAAAAGCTCCATCACCCTTTTCTGGATGGAAGTGTGCCTGCATTACAGACAGTTCTAGATCCCTAAAGATTGAATTATGAACTTGTGATCTTACAACACATTTTTTGTTAAAAGCAAACTTCAAAAACATTTTTATGAAAATACTGCGCTTTCACTGTAAGTTAAGATGTCTGTATATGTATAAATACATAGATATGGACAAACATCTTGAAACCTTTCCAAGCTCTAACCTATTATTTAAAAACTCATTACCTTTACTTTTCTGAAAGCCATTTTAGCTTACCTGTGGAGAGTATTATGATAGTAACCACAGTTAATGCAATGAAGTGATAGAAAATCTCTTTGTGTCTTCCCTTACTGAAGGGCATTTTTAAATTTATTTTTTTTTTAGAGTCAGTAACTGTATAAATGCATTAAGAAGCAAGAGACTGGATGTGCAGTCTGTTTCATGTTGCTTATTAACAAAAAAAGGTAGTGAACCAACCATGGTGAAATGGTATTCTTGTTTGTAATGCAGGCTGGTTTTGTTTTAATACCTAGTATGTAAATAATTACTTCAATAGTTTAATGTTTTCCAGAAAAAGGCTACAGAATTGGGTTGCCAAACCAGCGGACATCCTTTTAGATCAAAAGGTACTGTTGGACAGTAATCATAGCACAAAAAGTATGTGTTTGAGTCGTGGGAGCTGGGGTTTCTTTCACCTCATGCTAGCACAGACTTTTAGCCCCAGCTGCAGTTTTGAGAGATGGGGACATCTACCCATCTTTTTAAAGAAGCCTAAGTTAGGAAGAAACAAGACTGCTGAAGCACCTTATTTAAATGTACTGAAATGTTTCAGTTCTGACACCTCAGAAACCTTAACAGAATTTATCTACTTGTCTCCTGATGAGCCCCTCCCAGGTCACTTTCATAGAGCTCATTACACACTTTCAGAGAAAGGAGCCCTTACAAAAGGAAAAGAGGGTAAAGATTCTGAAGGAAGAAATGTGTAAAATCCTCCAGAGTGGACCTTAGTTCTCTGCCTGGGACTCAATGGTGACACCACTGCCCCTGCATGCTGAGAGCAGCAAATTTACCTAGAGTGATGGAGCAGCAGAGCTTTGTCTACAAGCTGTACTCAGAGGTGAAAAACCTGCTGTAGTCTTAGAAAAGTATGACACTGAACAAGGAAATGCCATGATTTGATGTATGTGCTTAGTCAACCCCTGTAAAGGAATAGTAAGTTCTGACCAATACTCAGAACTCTTGTCTATGAAATGCAGTACGCTTGGTTAGATATATTTAATGCTTCTAAACGATTTTCTGAGAACTTTAGGTTGAAGAGTGCTGCATGTGCTTTCTAGCTTTTATTCCTGACTCCTGGCAGTTGAGATACAGGCTAATGACAGCTGTTTAAGAGTGTTCTATAAGCAGTTTTAAATTGCTCAAAAATATCTCCTTGTCTTCCTACTTGTAGTTGAAATGAATAAATGCATTATTCTAAATAGGATAAAATGGGTTTACATGGTAATTGCAATGCACAATCTTTGAAAGTCATCTAATAAGCAGCAACCTTTAACCTACTAAAATTAAGCAATGTGTTTATAAACACTAGGAACTGTGATAATGTCAGGGGTTAGCTTTTTGTAAACGAGTGGGGGCTTGGGCTTTGTTGTTGGAAAACCAGCTGACTGTTGTATAATGGTTATCCCTGATAGTTACTTCCTAAATAAAGACGATTCTTTACCCTGAGTGCTTATGCTGTGCCCTGTCAAATAATTTCGGCGCCTAAATTGGGTGCATCCGAAGAGCTTCACTGAACGCGTTCACACGGTAATTTGCAACCTCCGAGCCGAGTCGCTCGCAGCGGTGCTCCATTGCTGCTCTGTCGCTGCTCCGGCCTTTTCGCTGTGCCCACCGTGGCCGGTGCCGCACGACCTGCAGCCGCGGGGGGGTCGGGCCGCGGCGGGGGCCGGGGCGCGGCGGCCCCTGGGCGGGCGCGGTGCCGGGTCGCCGAGCCGGGCAGGGCCGGGCCGGGCGGCTGTTGGCTGTTGCCATGGCTCCGGCAAGCCGGGGGAGCCCAATGAGCGCTCTGCGGCGGTGCCGAGGGGACCAGCCATTTTGCTTATGGAAAACAATGTGACATATTATGCTGTGCTGTACCGGGGAATAAACAAAAATCCCGTCGGGGGACACAGCAGAAGCGGGCATATAAGTGAGTAATTCCGGCGCCCCAGCGGGCCCGCCAGCTGCCATTTTGACAGGCTCGCGGCTGCCGCTCCCGCCGCTGATCGGAGGAGGTGGAATGCGGGGCGATAATGCTGCATATCTGCTGTCAGGCAGCGGATCGGGGTTTTGTCTTGTAAAGGCGAGGTTCCTCTGCAGTGGTGTCTCGGCAGCTCCCTAGCTGCTGCTCCGAGCGGGAGCCTGGGATCCAGGAGAAGGGTGTCGCCCTTCCTCCCGCCGCTCTGGTGCGCGGCTGGCGCCGGGGCGCGGGTGCTGCTGAGGAGCAGGTGTGCGAGGGCTCGGCCGGGCTCCCGCTGCGGGCTCCGAGCTGCGCCTTGGCAGGTTGGCGTGAGAGCTGCTGCCGCTGGACTCCTCCACAACAGGGATCCGCTCTGCGCCTCGGCTGCGGGGAGAGAGGTACGCCTGAGTGCGGTTCTGTGAGACACAGCTGAGCGCAACTTCCTGCGAGAAATATGCTCCTCTAGGTATCTGTGCGTTGAAAGGTTGGCTTTGGTCAGTGGCTGGTTCAGAGTGGTTGCTGAATTAATTGATCTGACCGCGTTTTCCTTAAGTGTTTCGATATGGTGTGTTCCATATGGTTGCTGATTCAGAAGGATGTTTCCAATAGTTGATAAAATTTTATGCCTGCACTAGAAGGCAAGGATTATTTTTTTGTTTGGATTTTTATTGTGCTTTTTACCATCAGGATAGCATGGGTGAAATAAAATATCATAGAACTCGTGAGCACGTTCGAAAAGCTGTACATTGCTGAGTTCATCATTAGTGGATTTCCATGCATTGTGTTCAGCCTCAGCGTTAGATTTAAATTGTCCAACTGCTGCTGTGCAGTATGTAGGTCATAATAAAAAGCAGCTTTTTCACCAGCTTTCAATGGACTGCATGCCCCAGTGCTGTGGCTGATTAGTTTGTGGTACTTGTGCTGTTAAGAGTAGTGGTATTATAGCTGGCTCACACCTCCTTTTTAAAGATATCGCACGTACCGTGCTAGACAGAGCACAACACACCCATTGTGTCCCTCCGTTTGGCGTTCAGTAAAAGGAAGGAAACGAGCACTCCACATGGAGCACCAGCACATTAATAGCACAAGACGGTTAAACTTTTATTGAACAATCAGTGATTCTGACATAGTCTATTGAAGGTAGAGAAAATAAAAACACTAAGACAAATGTAATGGGAGGGGTCTTCTAATAGGCACTGTATGTTAGCGCTGTAGATTTTCAGTGCAAAATTAATTGTTCTGAACAGTTATTAATCACAACACATCTGCTTTAGAGGTGAAAACTCTAGTTAGACCTAGGTCAATAAAACCGCAATCCCTCCAGACTAACGTTTCTATTAAAAGTAGCATTTTCCAAATTACCAACTGTATTCTTATGCAGTAATGCAGTTTCGGAATTAGCTAGTACTGAAATGCATTAAATTATTCTGACAACTGAAACAAATTTTCTGATTCACCTTGCATCTATAGAAAATGAGATGATATTTTGGTCTGAAGTCTTCTTTAATAATTATGTGGATTTAAATCACACTGAAATGAGCCATTTGTTTGGACAGTTGAGTGGGCATAAAATCAAGAATTTGAAGTCTGGTGTCTTTATAGTTAAATTAGTAACCAGTGCTGTGTAACTAGGAGCCAAATTCCAATGTGTTGTTTCTGTATATATCCTGCAAAGGCACTTGAACAAGCACGTTCAGCAGCAATCCCCCAAATGAGACATTGCAGTATATAATTGGATTGCTACTATGCATTTTTTCTATTAGGAAAGCTCCATTTTACTTGAATCATTCCAGGATTTTGATTTTTGGCAAATGCACATCCTAACTTCTTTTTCTATACCTCTGTGTAGGGGTCACACAGTAAGTGGTTTAGAGAACTGCCTTTATCTGTGTTCTATAAAGTGGAATGTGCATTTGCAGTGTGGTACTGTATGAATATTTATGATTGAGTCTGTTATTATGATGAAAATTATGAGCAAGCAGAGCTAGTATTTAAGATGTTGGTAAGCCTTAAACAAAGAGATAGACAGCTTTTGTTACAACAATAAAAAACGTGGATAAAGCAGCGTGCAAAAAGTGAAGGATCTTGTAGTTCAAGGTGGATATAACCTCACTACAAAGAATTTAAGGTGTTATGAAAACAAGTGAAGACTAGCTATGACTAATCACTAAACAGTATGCACCCATTAGGTGCATCCTATTAGTCTCTATTATTTAAACCAATATTCTGTACCCTTTCCATTCTGCTTTTCTCCTTTTGTTGTTTTTCTCATATCAGTTCCCAGCTTCCCTCTCTTTCCGTACTGTCTCTTTGACAACATCTGATCCCCTCAGAGCTATTTGTAAATCAAATCGGTGACTGTCAGTAATGGACATGGAGGTGCTGCAATAGAATCTGGTGCAGAGGAAGAATTTAAATGAGTTAGAGGTAAGAAACAGAACTAAGTAATGAGCGTATCCAGTATGAACTAATTCCACATGATGTAAGATATAAAGGCCTAGAATTGGGTCACTGATGTAGGAATCAAGGGGGCATGCAGTGGGAGGGACATTTTTCATATCATGATAAATTGTAGTTATAAACAGAAGATTTACAAGAAGACCTTGACAATAATATGACATAAGACAAATAGGGTATTTTTGCACTAGAATTGGTAGTATTTAGTTCCTGTTGAAGTCTAAAAGTTTTACAGGTTTCAGTAGAGCCACGGTTTCTATCAAGAGATGATTATACATTATTTGAAAGCCTTCAGGTTATGCAAAGTCAGGCTCTCTCTTGGTCAGCAGAGATGTAAATAACATCAGCTGTCATACTTTAAAATTACAGTCACTTCGAATATTTTTTTTGACAGATGACCTTAGAAGGTGACTGTGGGTCCATGTGTCACTATAAAACAGGATACTAACAAAGCAAAAGCAGGCAGATGAATCCTTAAATGCAGTATCATAGGAGCAGGTGCAAACAGTAATAGAAATAAGAGACCAGGATGACCAAAGAAGGTAGAATCAAGTGTAACAGCTTTTTTGGTATGTTCTTTGTTTAAAAAATTAGCTTTAAGCACACAGTGATAAGCATCAGCCAGCCATGGGGTGTGTGGAGCACAGTAACCTTTATCTACCCCACAGCCTATGGACTATTCTCGTACTTACATGTACGACCAACCTGTGAGCAAGAATACAGATGGTATGTGCCCAGGGAAGACACTCAGATATCGAATTAGGGTACACTGTATGATGTTACACTGTGGAATGGCTGAATGTCTCTTCTGTACTGCAAGGATCAGGTATTGAATATAATGCATCAATTATGAGGTTGCATCTGGAATGCACAAACTGCATCCATCACGTGTGACATTGGAACAGTATTTCTGCTCCAGTGAAGCTGTCTGCACAAACATAGAAATAGAAGTTGTCAATTTCTGCTTGTTTGTAAACTAGAATTTTATAAATGTATACTTTGGTATTATGTCCTACTGCTGTGATATCGATCCTTTCCCATGTCATTATTTCATATTACATTAAGGATGTTACTGCTGCCAGTTTGACTTTTCTTTTTCTACTATTGTATGACTTCCTATTTGAGAGTGACTGTACCGTAGATACTCTGTGTTCATTTTTCTTCAAATAGTCTGGCAAACATGAAAATGTTTTGACAAAAGCTGGCCTTTCTGAAATTATGAGGCTTCTTAACATTCTAGAGCTAAAACAAAAGCAAAAAAGACTTTCGAAGGCACTGATGTAATGGAAAACTTCATGTATGGGAGGGAAAAAGGAGAGAAGTAAGTACTTAAAAGGGCAGCACGTATCTTTGAGTAAAGGCATGCTGGATGACCAAATTTTAGATCTACTCCTGCTTTCAGTGTTTTTAAAGCATGAAATGTATTTTTCTGTTCAGATGTATTGTTCCATAAGAGTGATACATCATAGCTAATGCTGCTGTAAAGTAGGAAATTCCAAAGGCGGACCCTTTTCTTCTGTTATTTCTAACTTCTTTCCCTAAATAGATTGATTTTTTTCAACTTTCTGTACTGAATACAGATAGTGTTCTGACTCATCCACCCTTAAAAACCTCACCAACCACCATCAGGGGGTTGAATAGCACAGATGTGGTTCTGTGTCCTTAAGTAACTCGAGTAGCATAGTGCACTTTTTTAAGAAGTGATGCTGAAAATCCTGAGTCTCAAAGGATGGTGGGAAAAAATAAAAATGACAGGAAAAGCAAAAATTCTTCCTCTCAGTCTTTTCTATGATCAAACTATATAGTAAACTTTTTCATTAACCTTTTCAGAAAATAACTTAAATAATGCTGAGATATAGAATAATGAAAGCTTTACTTCTTTTTAGAGAACTTGTCTTGCATTTTGTGTGCAAGTGTTAAAGCAGTGTACAGCTGAACTGTTTTATGGGTAACTAAAAGCTATCCCTAGTTTAGCAGCAGTGGCTGATTAAATTTGTCTGCAAGCATAGTGGTTTTATTCTTTTGCTTCTTCAGGACCCAAAAAATAGGCAGGGATGCGTGATCAAACCAAATGAAAATGGAATCAGTAACTGCAATTCTCATAGTTGAAAGTCAAATTCATCGAGGTTTGTAAGAACAGTAAAATGCATTGATTTCTAAAGGTTGCATTTGTTTATAGGATCAAGTTATGCTAATCAGAAATCAGTAGTTGTGGCTGAAGGTCAAAAGTAGGTGGAAGGATCTTTTTGTTTTTTCAAATAGTTTAAAAGCAACAGGTCTGGTTCCTTACTGAATTTTTATTTTATTTTTCTGAGAAGTGTCAATAGGTGATGTCCCAGTTCAACTACAGGAAGAC